TAAAGACAACACCATATGTTTTCACCCTAGTGAGCGAATTCTTCAAACTCTAGACAATGCCTTCAACAAGAAAGATGTCTCCTCGAGTCGTGGAACCTGTGCCTAACAAGCATCGCAAATCAAAGTGCACAAGTGCCTAGGCAGTCATGAATCCACCATATATTGTGGGCCCATTTGGCATGACTAGATCCATCTAGTGTCTATAATTTGTAGACTAAATTAAATAGCTAAAATATTTTTATTTAGTCTAAATTATAAATGAAATAAGTAATGTAAATGCACTTCATATGCCTCTAGCTCCATATATAAGATTTTCTAGAGCTAGAAGTATCTAGCTCCAAATTTTGTGGAGCTAGAGCTCTACCAAACAGATGCCACAACCGCCATCATACTACCTGCAAACTTCACAAATTTCGTTTGTTCACTAATTCCATAATAATAATAATAATAATAATAATAATAATAATAATAATAATAATAATAATAATAATAATAATGTTATTGTTGTTGTAGGTGCATGAATATGAGCCTCTAGGATTTCATAACTATACGATGAAAACATACAAACAAGATTATATCAGTTGCATGAAAAAAAAAAGAGGAACAAATAAATTAGGGAACATAGATAGCCATGAATACTTGAAGAAGGCAAAGAGGAGGGCCGGCCCTAGGGGGGCATGGGGTGCGACGGCCAAGGGCCTAGGCGGGGGAGGGGCCCAAGCCCAGGTATACAAACCCCCAGGCCCTATAATCCATTAGTCATCAGCAAACTAATGAGAAGGCGGCCTAAGAAGGCAAGAAGATCGTCAGCCTATTTCTTTCCCAGGAGGCGAGGAGCCGTGCCACAGTTCCGCACGCCCGCACATTGCGACTAGCGCGATCGCTACGCTAGACACGACACGCGAGATCGCGACGCTGACTCACCGAGGAGAGCTAGACGCCTGGATTGCTGGAGAACTGGAGAAGAGAATGGCGCACGACGGTCGACGGCGCACGACGACGGTTCTTGCCTTCTGCCCTTCTTGCGAATCTTGGTTCTGAATCAGTTCATGTCCAAATTGTCCAAGTCCTAGGTATTTGTTTCCTTGTTCATTTTTTAATCCAAATTAATTATTTGTATAGTATTCCAGACTTCTAATATTTTGTACTCATATAGTCATTTTTCTCTTCTAATTTAGGTGTTAGAATTTTAGAATGTTACCTAAGAAATATTTGTCAGGGGCTGCGGAAAAAAAACGAAAAAGACAAGAAGATCAATTTATTCAATCACAACAAGGTGCTATCCATATGTTTGAGTTGCCTATCGAATTCTCTTAACTGTACGACTGTAGCTTTGGCTGAAAGAAGTTTCTCAAAATTAAAGTTGAACTATTTGAAATCAACTATGTCACAAGAAATGTTAAATGGCTTGGTTATGTGCACCATCGAGAAGGATATCTTGGACACTATTGATCTCAATACCGTCCTTAATGATTTTGCATCAAGAAATGCACGAAGAAGTATCTTTTTATGAGAAGCAATGGATATAATGGAGTTCTATTCTTTCTTAAGGTAATCACATTAGTTCTAGAAGTACAAATATATTGCTTTTTTAGTCTACATTGCTTCTCGATAATTATCAGACATGTTAAATAAAAAATATATTATTAGATTTGCTTTTCCTTTGCAAGTAAAATTAGCGTCTATATGTTATAAAATTTTATACATGGTCTAGAAGGATCGTCACGACGAGTTGCCAGAGGGCCCTCAAAATCATAGCACCGGCGCTGGCAGAGAGTGGGCAGATCTCGTGTCACTGAGACGATTGACATCAAGGTGCCGGATAAGTAACAAATGTCAATGCGAGGTGACACTAGTAATGACAAAAGGAAGAAAATAAGAAAGCATCTGTAGATTCCAAACACCGAGTTTCTGAGTTTGAACAACCAATTTGATGGAAGACTGACCCCACCAACAAACGGCACAATGAAATAGCCAAATAGGAGATGTCAAATTGTTTAGTTGGTCAACTGTGATAGGTAAGCCCTGTGCCAAACCCTCGGGCCCCTCTCAACTCAAGCTCCCATACCAATCCCTTCTTTTTCTTTCATTTTTTTTATAAGCCCTCTCTCGACATCTATGATATAGTTGTACGAAAGTAATCCCCTGTTGAAATTAGTAGGCTATTTCGTTTCATAGGAGTTAGGACAAACATTTGATCAATAAGTTTTAATCAACACATGGTTTTTCTATCAAAATTGATAATGTTAAATTCAAAATGAAAATATTTATCTATGGTTACGATTTTATATTACAGAAGAAATTAATAGAGTAATTGTTGGCAAAAATCTTTGTCCTCATAACGAAGCAAAATAAGTCTACTAATTCGAAACAGAGGAGGTATACCTATGAATCATATGTACGTGGTTGAAGGGTGAAGCACTCTTGTTACGTAAAACGTAAGGTGTATCACTTCCTTTAGTGGTCCAAATATTGAACGAGTTGAGTGCACCCATTATATGGTGACACAGAAGATTAATTCATGAAATTAAGGGACAGGTATCCTTTCCTTTTCACCTCCTCTTCCCCTGCTCTTCATTTCATCATGTCAAAGATGTGCAGGGTTTGAGGTCCATTATATCAGGGATAAGCACGGATTGAACTTTATTACCTTGCCCTTCAGATGTTGTACGATGTACTATACCTCCTTACCCGTACACTGATCCAGCTAAATGGACGTCTATCTGAGGAGTGTACCTCTATTTCAAAACAGATGGCGTTCAACAAAAGCAAAAGTCAGCAATCAGCATGCAAGTTTCAAATAAATGTCATCTTTTAGCTTCTCAGGCTACATATTTTTCAACAGGTGCCTCTGTTAATTCAATTTATGTACTATTTTCGGAGAGAAGAATAAAGTAGTCCATTAATGTATCGTATGTCGCACAGATTAAAATACTCCTTCCGTCCCAAATTATAAGCCGTTGCAACTTTCTTGGAGAGCAAAACATATGAAGTTTGACCAAAATTACAGAGAAAATTACAAAGATTTATGACATCCAAATAGACATATTATGAAAATATAATTAATGAAGAATCTCATGATACTTATTTCATATTATAAATATTATTATTTTATCGTATAAATTTGGTTAAACTCGAGATGCTTTGACTTAAAAAAAATGTTAGAATGACTGTCGGTTAAATTTGGGAGGGAAAAGTGAGGAGGGAGTAGGTAACAGGTAATTCAGGTAACTACTGTCACTGTCAGGCAGGAAACGAAGAAATTGGCTGTCAGTCTTTCCTCCGATTCGATTCAGATACCACCAAGGGCAGAGGCCGCCGGGCGGAGCAGGGAGCAATCGCCATTCGCCAGGGACGGACACCTCTGCGGCTCCGCCTCGACTGACGACAGCGGTCATAGCCAGCACCGGCTCTACAAGAAAGAAGAGAAACTGCAGAAACCGGGAGTGCAGGCGCGGCAGCGAGTCCCATGTGTTTGTGCTCGTCCTCCTCATAGCTCCCGTCTCCTCGTGCTCTCCACTGCTGCATGCGCCTCTTGTCCTGTCCCCCTGCCCCCTCCCCACCTTGTTCTTGCCATCCCGCGCCGTCTCTGCACGACGCAGCGCCGGTCCACAGACAAGGACAGCTACGACTACGACGCGCAGAGCGCCAGAGCCATCGCCCATCTGGGGCTGTCCTCGGTTACTCCTCCCCTCTGCCTTGTCCACAGCTGTCGTTAATTTCTTGATGAGTTGGCGTCGGCACCAGCGGGGCGGAGGAGGAGAAGGAGGCGGGGATTCAGATTCCCAGGCGCCGGCCGCCGCCTGAAGATCCCTTCTTCTTCTTCTCCTGTCGTCTGGCGGGCGAGGTGAGGCGGGTTCTTCCGTTTCTTGATTTTGGTTGCTTGCGCAGAGCCATTCCTCTTGTCCATTTCTTGGCCGAGAGATCTCATCTTTATTTGGTAATTTGGTACTACCTATTTAACGCTAGACACCGCCTTTTCTAGTTTCGGGTTAAATGCTAGTATGATCCGGGCTCGATTTTAATCGTGGAATGCGCCTTTCTTCCCCCCATCAAAAGCCAAAAGGGACTGTTTGTACTGATTCGTTCAGGTTCTTCTTCCCATTTGCCGTTCCTGCTTTTTCTTCGCTTGTCGAAGGTCAATCTGCGAGCTCAATGCCGGCGCTGGTAGTTGTGCCATTCCTCCTTGGGCCGATGGGGCCGACGGCCGTTGGGCTCCTGCCTGAGTGAGACAGGGGAGACAGCGACGCGTCTCTGCTGCTGTTTCTTCCACCACCATTACTGCGCCCCCCGCCTCCGTCTGACCATATCGCCTTTGCAGTCTGCAGAATAGTAGGAAACTAATAATTGCAGTTAAAAAAAGAGAGGGGGTAGCTCAGCTCGTTAGATCCTGCAGCTTACCATTTCTTGGATAAGTTGGGGGAAGATGGTGTCTTCGTTTCGATCCTTGTTCTTCCTAGTCAATTTGGGGCAGTTTGTTTACTATAGAAAGGTGGCATCTTCTGCTCTTTGATCTATATGTGGATCCAGTGCCAAATTGGATCGATTGAGGTTGGTTCCTTTGTTCAAATTCCCAGTTTAACGGATCAATTCGGTTAGTTGACTCTTGCTTGCAGAAAGTGCCCAACTGTGCTGCCATTCATTTCCATTGAATCCTTGGCTATCCACTCACAGAAACACCGAGTCCGTGAGGTCATTTTGTCCCTGCTTATGTAGGATTCTTGTGTTTATTTCCAAGTGGACATGTGGCGCATTCCCCAGCTTTTCGCAAATCAGTTTCTTCTGAACTCTGGAGTGCCCAAGTGGTTGTTCCCTTCCCATATCGATATAAGGCTAACACCATTCTCCATTCTGATGCCTGCCTCAATACATCTTGGCTCCAAGAATTTTCTGTGATTCTGTTCAGTTCCATAGGGTGCTCAATAAGTGATATCCAGTATTTAGAGAGTCTCTGCAAGAAGTGTTGCTCATATATTTGTGTTCTGATAGGTCCAAGAACCATGGGGCTCTTAGGTATGATGGGTGACTCGTTTGGTTGCTCAGCGATTGGGGAGCGACTTGTCTGTCTCCGCTTTTTGCAAGAGATGGAGACATCCAGGAGGCTAGAGCTCTCTTGGAACTCAATCCCCGCCTTGCACGGTACTCGACTTTCGGGATCCGGAACTCGCCTCTCCATTACTCGGCAGCAAAGGGCCACCATGAGGTGAACCATTGATTTTATCTATAGTATTGTTTTCCCATCTATATGCAATAATTGTAGATCCAGATGCCTTTGTTAACCCATTTAATTACTTGTTAGTATGTGAACTTGTTATTGTTTTACAAAATAATCCTCTCCTTCCTCTGTGATAGATTGTCTCCCCTCCTAATCGAATCCGGCGTTAATATTAACCTTAGAAATTGCAGAGGACAGGTAAATTCTTCTCTTTCTCATCTTAGATCTTCAACCATATTGATCACTGTGCTTTGTCTGCCTTTAGAGTATTTCATCAGCAGTGAATTTCCATTCAGGATTATATTAGGAAATGCATTATGTAACAGTATGGTTAAAAAATACTAGCAGGCTTTGCAGTCCTGTGCATTTATATATAACTTAGGTTACCTATTTTTTTGGGAGTGTGAATTAGTAGCTTGATGGAGAGGAACTATACCCTTGCTTCTTTTTCGTGGTTGAGTTATACTGTATGCCCTTGCTTCTTTTTCGTGGTTGAGTTATACTGTGTGCTAACTCAACAATGTTCACACGCTGGTTGTTATGTGGTCAATACATAAAAATTGATAAGAGATAGATGCTACAGCTTAGTCTTCATTGCATCTCACCTTATTGTTTATGTTTCTTCTCAGTTATGTTTTAAGTTCTGGTTTTTTTTTTGGTGCTAATTCAGAACACTAAACTGTGCAGACTGCTCTGATGCAAGCTTGTCTATATGGTCACTGGAAAGTTGTACAGATTCTAGTTCTTTTTAAAGCTAATGTAAGTGAACACTAGCTAATATGTTCTTGGATCAAATTAGTCTGATTTTTTTCTCTTACAAAAAATGTCTGAAATATCTATTTATGCACGCGATCTGTATCTGGATTTCTAGATTCACAGGAGAGACTGTTTTAGTGGCGCGACCGCTATTCATTTTGCCGCCCTAAAAGGTCATACTCGGTGCATTCGGCTTCTTATGGCTGATTACGTGCCTAGCTTGTCAGAGTTTTGGACCATTATGCATGGAAAGTCCACAGATGAAATGAAAAAGGATGCCTTTGATGCCGTGTATGTAAAATCCTGACGTTCACCTATATTGGCATCTTTCCCATCACTTATAAATTTGCATCATTTTTCCTTGTACACTCTGGGCATTCAATTATGTGGTCATCTTCTCATCACTTATAAATTTGTGTCATTTCTTCTGGTGCTCTTCAGGGCTCTCCAGAGACTAGTTAATGGAAAGTCGGATGGTGGCGTCACCCCGCTTCACTTGGCAGCCCTTCATGGGCATGCTGAGAGTGTGCAGTTGCTATTAGACCTTGGAGCCTCTGTCTCTGAGGTGACTGTCAATGATGGTTCAACTATTGACCTCATTGGTAAGTATTTATTAAACAGAAAAGGATATTGTTTAACCTGATTCAATTTATTATAGACATGGTTCTGCAAAAATATTATCGATAAGTGGACCTTTCCTTACTTTTTTTACTATGATCGTAGATTAACTCAACCATCGTGCAGGTTCAGGAGCACACCCTCCATTACGCCGGCATGTGGTGGAAGTGCTGTTTGCTGCCAAGTATGTTAGTTAACTTTCCTATTTCATGAGAATCTAAGTAATTTGCCAACTCCCATCTACTGATATCTGCTAAACAGCTTCTCATTGCAGCAGGAGCAAACATGGGAGCTCAAAATGCTAACGGGTATGCCCTTGTTGGTTCATAATAAATATTTGTTTCTGCATCAAATCAATTGAACTTGTCTCATTGAAAAGATAATTTTTTTACTTACAACTGTCTACAACAAGTTATGTTCTTTGTTTATCAGAATTAGTGGTATTGATATCTTTACTTAAGCACCTGTGTAAATTTTGCACTTCTATTTTACTATTTCTATATGCTTATTAGTGTTAAGTATTGTCTTCCTTATTCGGCCATCTTCCCTATGTGGTTTACTCAAAACCTTAAGCCTGTTGCTGAAATTTTGTGCTTATACAAACTCCGAATATGCTGCCTTAACTTATACCATGCATCAAACTTGTAACTTTTGTTGTCCAATTAAGGAAGGGCACTTGCTTGGGTCTTGCTAATATCAGAAAAGGATTTCCATTTTAATTATTTTGATTGCTTACACTTTTACCATGCTTTTGCTTGAAAGGTTGACTCCTTTATTGGTGGCTCGTTCGTGGCACAAAACTAGTATTGAAGGTATTCTAAGCAAGCAACCAGAAAATCGAATGCGTATTCTTCCTTCACCATACCTTTGTCTACCACTGATGAGCATTGTCAAAATTGCCCGGTGAGTTCAAATACCCGCCAAAATATGTAGGTATTCATAACATTAAACGCCACTATCTGTAATAACATGATACCTAGACTCAAACATTTTTGCTCAAGTAGTTGTGTATTCACATTCCTTGTTCCAGTGGAAGAGGTGACTACGACCAATGTTTTACAGCAGCATTTTACCTATTACCATTGTGACCTAAAACATCAGAGTTTTACTGCACCTTGGGAGAAGCTGCATTTCACTGGGTGTAGAATGTTGATAGGATGCTCATTTCAAATTTTGAACATCACAAAAAACAGAATAGCACTGTCAGGTTTTCTCTTATTTTTCCTATGCATGATCAGCTAATTATGAATGCAACCCTGAGTCCCTGACCCTTCGTTGATCTTTTTCAGGGAATGTGGATGGAGGAAAACTTCTGCCTCATCCACTTGTCAGGATCCATGTGTCATATGTTTGGAGGTGGAATGCACTGTAGCTGCAGAAGGTACTGAAAAAATTGACTCTCATGGTGGGTTTTTTAACCCTGCGAACACCATTGATGAATGCCTGTTATAATAGGTTGTGGCCATGAGTTTTGCACCAAATGTGCCCTCTACTTGTGCTCCACCACAAGCAGCTCAACATCTATCCGTGGAGTTCCTGGCTCCATATCCTGCCCTTTGTGTCGGCATGCCATTGTCTCCTTCATGAGGCCCACCAGCACTACCCCAATAAAGGCGCTTCCATGGACAAGTGCATCGCTAGCTCTATGTGCAGCAGGCGCAAGCACTGGTCCTGATCATGGCAGGTCCTTGCATCGACGGCCTGACATGCGTCGATTGCGCTCCTCCTCAGTTCAGCTGGGATGCTCTTCTTTTAGATCCATTGGCTCTGGGAAGCTGTCATCCATAAAGCTGAACTGCACAGGAGCTGAAGAGGCAGTGCCTTGCCTCGTCAGCTGCCTCAGGCCCGATGTGCAGCGTTCATCGTCATACAGGGAAAGAATTAGGAGATATTCAGAGTTTTGAAAGGATGCCTTTGTTGGTTTTGTGCCATCCTTCCTGGAGTTTTTAGGGTTTGGGAATTTAAACTTGTGCGGTGTATGTTCAGGGTTCTCTTCGTTTGTTTCCTTGTTATTATGTAATATGATGCAGTCCTCGTGAAGATCTGTTTGTGTACATGGCCCGAGTTCATTACTTATATGTGAAGTATATACCATCTCTGTTTTGCAATCACTGGCAAGTTAATACTCCCTTGGTTCTAAATTGTAGATTATTTTAGTTTTGTCCTAAGTCAAGCTTCTCTAACTTTAAACTAGTTTCAAAGTTACTGATGAAGTATATCTCATGGTGTATCTAGTGAATTTTGTTTGATATTGTAGATATTTGTTTACTTATATGGTTTTTACTGTCGAAATGTTTTTTTTTGTAATACTTAGTCATAGTAAAAAGGACGATTATTTGGAAACGTGAAATCAGGCCATCCCTGAAGTTTAATGAATTGGCCTAGAGGCGGTTATGATGCCATGGGAAAACCATTGGAAATGACGATTTGAGGCAATGTTACTCTAAATACAAATTTGTCATAGTAAAATGCATGACTTGGATTGAGTCATTTTAAATATGCTTACATGCAGCAAGCCAACACCAAATTCAGCGTTTTAGACTCATGAATAATGTGCGAGCAAATTACATTGGCAGTCCAAAACTATGGCATCATTCTTATCATGTCCCGAACTATCAAATTACATGACTAGAGGACCCTAAACTATTTGAATGCCTCAATCATGGTCCAAAGCAGCCATGTCATAGTATACTAGCTTATGTGAGCGTGGAGATAATATTTGGGTTTGCAACTTGTAATTATACGGACGGTCCCTAAATTATTTTGTGGTTCTCATCTAGATTCCTAGACTATTAAATTATGTATATGGTGGGTTCCTAATCTAACTAAATACCCTGATCTTCAGACTAAAGTAACCCCTTCATGCTTCATTCATCGTGGCTTGGCTTGCCGGATAGGCTCCCAAGTCTTTTTTTTTTATTGTTCGTCTCCTTGTCATTAGCTTCTCATCTTGATTTGGCAAGCAACATCTTAACGCCACTGTTATTTTGAACAAAGGGTCGGTAATTGTTGTTGGGTGTGTGCAAGGAAACATCACTCGCCCACAAAGGTAATGAGCATGCCCGCTTAGTCATCGCACACCAACCTCAGTGTACCAAGATGTGACCTGAGCTCATAGTCATACCATGGCGGTCGGTGGAGCGGAGCATGGCAAGCGTGTCCTTTCACCGCTGGAGGAGACAGGTGGTTACTCTGAACTGGGATTTGGGTAATTTAATAGAATATAGGGATCTCGATATGTAATTTTATATTTTGGAACCTTCCCTCTGCCTGTAATATAGTGCATTCTTGGAATTTTAAGACAAATTAAGAGAGAACGTAAAAGAAGCATGCCTCATTTTATTTCCTAATCAGACTATATCATCAATGTGATTAATATTGATTGGTTGATAAATAGAAAGTATTTAATGCAAAACTGGTTTTTGTCCTCTAGAATGCATTATATTTGAGGACAAATTTTGATTGCCAGAATGTACTATATTATAGGACGGAGGAAGTATGCGAGATCACATGCTAGTTTAGGCACTACATGTGTAATTATGAGTTGCAGGCCCACATGTAGATTCTATGCTGGAGCACCATATAAGCTAATAGACTGTGACTTTGCTAATTTGGAACATGATTGACATGCTTAAATATAGTTTAAGGATTCGGATATGCAGTTGCGTAGTTTAGGGATTCGATGAATGAGAATGTCGTAAGAGTTTAGAAACCGCGAGCATAATTTACTTATAATGTGCTCACGTTTTGTCGGACCCTCATTTTGAAAGTCATAGGTGCATCTGTACTTGCGCCAGGATCATGCACAAGTACGCACAAATTAACAGAAATGGCACACAGATATATAATAAAAGGTTCCGAGCTTTATTGATATCTAAAAAGGTAGAGTCTTACAACAGTGGCCCGAAGGGCTTATGGGTTACATAACTAGCGGAAGACTACTACCGTGAAGCGGCATTTTATTATATCATGGTTGTCTCTAGTACGATAGTATTATACAACATAGCGATATCCTAATCCATAGGCAAGCTTGAGCGCGGTCGAAACCCTAGCTTCGATGTCTTCTTCCTACGATCGAAATCTTCGTGTAACTCCTAATCCTCGTGGTACGCTGCCTCATCGAAGTCTTGGTCCTCCTCGGTGCCGAAGTCTATGAGTCAACAACGGGTAAGTACATACGTACTCAGCAAGCCCTAACCATAGGGTGGAAATAGAAGTGGTGTGGTGATTAAATTAAGGGTTGGGTCCTAGCGGAGTATTACCATTCCCACTAGTCCCCGAGTCAAGGTTTCATAACACAGTTTCATTACACATAAAAGTAAATCTAATCCCAGTATCCCATCATAACATCTGCCCATTCCAAGGGCGTGGTTATTCGAATAGGTTTAATGAACTCTGCAGAGGTATACAAATTTCCCCACACGATAGGCACAATCTCTTCCGTGATCAATGGACCGAATAGGCCTAACAAGACCCGTACCCGAATGTACGCGGCCTTAGATGTTCGTATAATTCTACCATGACTTCCCAGGGGTTGGAAAACACACAAATCTCGGGAGGATACCTGATCGTCCCATCTCATAATCCTGGATGATACCACATCATCCCATCATACAATCTTGGATGATACCTAATCATCCCAACATAACAGTGCTGATGATAACTAATCATCACATTAACAATAAAATGGGCTCGAACACGGCCAACATAAACGATAACATGCGCTCGAACGCGGCCAAAAATCCAAGGGCTTAACGTGGAGGATCACATAGCAACCACGCCAACTGGGCCACGGAAGATCTCATAACATCCATGCCTGCTCCTGATATTCCGCTGCCAACACCGGCCTCTGCCATTGCGCGCGCTCGTGTTCAAATTGGCTAGGTCGGTTCGCAATAGTGTGGCCTTATCCATGCGCGCGGCAAAGGTTACTTGGCGGCTACCCATGGTGGTGCTGGCGGGGAGCGGCCATGGCGCCGCGTGTTGATGGTGCCACAGTGAGAGGGAGAGAGGAGAGGAGTAGCGTCCGTGGGGCCAGGAAGGTTCGCGAGAGCGCGATCGATCTTATCCACTCGGTGCTGGGTGGGCGGAGCGCGACCATGGCGTGGCCAAGGCGGGTGCTGTGACGCGGTATTCCCGTCGTCTGGAGGTAGACGACGGTGATGACACGCGGGCCCCATCCGTCGGTGAGTGGGAGAGTGGGGAGGGCGCTGGCGCGTTGCGAGATGGGTCGGGTTGCGGTGATGGGCTGGCCCATTGCGGAGGAAAGGAAGCGGGAGGATGGAGGGCTACTGCTGCTGTGGGCCTAAAGAGAGGGAGGGAGAGAAGGAGCCCAGGTGGCTTTTCCATTTTCCAAATCCTTTTTTCATTTCCCAGATTTTCCTATACTAAGTTTTGAATGCTTTTGAATTCAAATTTGAAAATGCAAGCATGCAGGGTGTACCACCATATGCTCAACCAAGCAAACAAACAAACACTCTATTTTATTCCACACATGTAGTTTTATTCTAGTTGTCCTACCAAACTAATTCCTAGTTGGGTTAGGTTTATTTATTTTAAGCAAAGTTTTTAAAAGTTCAAATTTTTAGTGATTTTTAAAACTAGTCAAAATTCAGGGTGTTACAAACCTACCCCTTAAAAAGAATCTCATCCTCGAGATTCGAACTGATCCTCAAATAGATAGGGAAATCCCTTCTTCAGATCATCTTCTCTTTCCCATGTGGCCTCTGCCACAGTGTGATTGCTCAATTGTACCCGACAAAACCTTACTGTTGTCCTTCTTGTTTGTCGGGTGACAACATCCAATATCTTGATCGGTCTCTCTTGGTACTGTAGGTCTGGCTGTAAATCCATGGCTTCCATAGGTGCTTGTTCTTCTGGTACCCTCAAGCATTGCTTTAGTTGCGATACATGAAACACATCGTGCACATCTGACATTTCTAGAGGCAGTTCCAGGCAGTATGCTACAGCTCCAATTCTCCCAATGATCTTGTATGGCCCAATGTATCGTGGTGCTAATTTTCCTCTGACTTGAAATCTTCGAGTGCCCCTGATCGGTGATACTTTCAGATAGGCAAAGTCTCCTGGTTGGAATTCTAATGGCCTTCGTCGGGTGTCTGCGTAGCTCTTTTGTCTGCTTTGTGCCGCTTTCAAATTCTCTCGGACCATGGCTACTTGTTCTTCTGCATTTTTAATCATGTCTGGACTGAACAAACTTCTTTCTCCAACTTTGGACCACATTAATGGTGTTCAACATTTTCTTCCATACAATGCTTCAAATGGTGCCATATTCAAGCTTGCTTGATTACTATTATTGTAGGAGAACTCTGCAAATGATAAGCTCTTTTCCCATTCTTTTCCATAGGTGAGCACACAGGCTCACATCATGTCTTCTAATATCTGATTTACTCATTCCGTCTGTCCATCTGTTTGTGGATGATAGGCTGAGATGTAATCTAGGTGTGTCCCTAGAGCTTTATGTAAGCTCTTCTAGAATCGTGTTGTGAATTGCGTTCCTCTGTCTAAAATGATTTGACTTGGTACCCCATGTAGTTAGAGTACGTTGTCAATGTACAGCTTTGCCAACTTGTTACCTTTGTAATCGGCCCTTACTGGAATAAAGCGTGCTACCTTTGTTAGTTGGTCCACTATAACCCATATTGAGTCGTGTCCATTTTGTGTTTTGGGCAGCCCTACTATGAAATCCATGCTGATCTCATCCCATTTCCATACTGGATTATGTAGTGGTTGGAGTAATCCTGTTGGTCGTTGATGTTCTGCTTTAACTCATCGGCAGGTATCACATCGGGCGACATATTCTGCGATATCTCCTTTCATTCCAACCCACCAGTACTTTTGTTTGAGGTCCATGTACATCTTGGTTGATCCTGGGTGGATGGAGTAT